CAGCAACTGGGAAATTAAAAGGTTATTGCACTGGGAAAGTCTGCTGTCAGAGACCTCTCCAAAGTATTGAAGAGCAATGATGTCAGTCTGGAAACTAAGGTGTTCCTGATCCAGGTCATAATCTTTGCAATTACATGCTATGCATCAGAAAGCTCGACAATGACTAGAGTTGATAGAATAATTGATACTTTTGAGCTGGGGAACATTATTGAATATACCAGATGCTATATAAAACCTAATCGTGAGTAACTATCATAAGAAGTTTAGTTTGCTAGGAAGACTGGTTCCCTTTGTTGTTGATAAGAGCCATCCAGTTGATGATAACTCTTGATGATCCTGTAAACAACAAATAGAAACTCTATCTTGCCTCATCCTCAAAATTTCCACCACCCTCCAGATAGCTGCTAGAGTCCTTTGTCAATCCATGTCATTGAGGGTCCTCCTCACTTTCCCTAATTCTCCATTTTTCCAATCACGATGTCTTTTTCCTCCTGACAAGGTGCCCTAAGTATGTGAGATGAAGTTTCACGTTCTTTACCTTCGAGGAGCACATTGGTTGCACTTCCTTCAAGAAAGACTTAATTGTTCTTTTGGCAGTCTGTGGTTATCACTATTCTTCTCCAACACCTCAACTCAAAGACATGAAATGTTGGGGATATTTTTCTGTCTGTGGACTTTATTGTAAAAAATTTTGAGGTACACAGGGGTTTGATATTTTGAAGATTGGATTTGTCAACTTTGTCCTCTCCTGGTTATGCATTAAAATTAAGCTGTTTGTGAGTCTATTCATGACATAGACTAGGGCTTCTAAATTTGTTCCTATTTTTTCTCTGACGTTCTTTATGGTTTTTGGTTTCACCTTTAGATCTCTGATCCACCATCAGTTGGTGTTTTGTGTATTGAGCAAGATGTAGATTCTGTTTCAATTTTCTGCAAGTAAATGTCTTGTTTTGCTCGCACCATTTGTTAAAGAAGCTATCATTTCTCCATTTAATGGGTTTCGTTTACTTGTCAAAAATCAGGAGACAACTTGGACTATGTGTTTCTTAATGATAACATGCTGTTTTGGTTACTACAGCTGCATAGTACCTTTTGAGATGGAGAGAGTGTGATACCTCCTACTTCATTTTTATTTTTCTTTCCTATAATTATATTTTATTAATTTTCATAAACATTTACAGAGATTT